CTGTGGTTCCCAGCCCATGGCACTGATGCCACATCCAGTCTCACCTTAAACACCTCCAGGGATGGAGAATCCACCCTCTCCCTGGGCAGCCCATTCCCATGGCTGATCACTCTCTGTAAAAAATTTTTTCCTAATATCCAACCTAAACCTCCCCTGGCACAGCTTCAGACCATGCCCTTCTTCCTGTTCTCCCTGTAAGAACATCCGTGCTGCCTTCCCTCCCCTGGGAGATGTCCCCAGGGAGCCTTTTCCCAACACATGTGTCTTCTGGAGCTGGATCCCCTGGTGGCTTTGAGCCCTCCCTGCCTTTCTTCCCAGAGAAAACTTGAAGAAGGTCTTTCTTTTCTCTCCTCCAGGGAAAACATGAAAAAGGTCTTTCTTTTCTCTCCTCCACTGCCTGTTTTTACAACATCTGCAAAAATGTGCCATTTCTGGCGCTGGGCTTTGATGTCAAACTCGGGTGAAATTTTTAAGCTTTAAAGCTACTGGGGAGGACAAACTGCTGGTGGTTGTATAAATCCCATTTTTTTAGAAGATCAGGCAAACCCCCACAAATTCTTCACAAGTTCTCATCAGGAATTACTGTCAAGGGCTCTGAAGAGTTTTACACTCGATGATCCAAAGTCTTTGTCCATTATGTCCATGGATATTCTGCTGAATCCAAGCCCTGGGCTTTGTCAGGAGGTGCAGATGTCAGGGGCTGAGGCAGCAGCAGAGCTGAAAGACCCCCTGAATCCTCCTGCTACAGCCTGACCTCTCTCAAGAGTTAGAGGTACATGATTCCTGGTTGAGGTGATGCAATTTAAACACCTGAGCACTTTGGAGGATCTGAGCCCAAATACCTTTCCAGTTAATATTATTAAATTCAGAACACATGGGGCCCAGCTGCCCCAGTGCTTTGTAGCCACCTCACCTGGTGCAGGGTGAGGGGCAGGTGCTCCCAACCTCCATCAGAGCAAAAACTGAACCCACAGAGCTCAAAGTCACCAACAAAGGGGCTTCATTTTCTCCTGATTCCAGGTAGGGAACCTGAGGCACAGGGAAGGGATCTGACCTGCCACCACCCCCTGAATAGAATCCAGGTGTCCCCAAGCCTCAAATTCCTTGTGGGGATGTGTTGCTGGGAGCCAGGCTGGATGTGGAACATTTCAAACCCTTTCTCAGCTCTGGGAGCTGGGGAGGTGCTGCCTCCCCTTTGCAGCTCTGCTCTGCACATCCCAGCTCAGAGCAGCTCAGCTGCAGCTTCCCATTCTTCTTCCAGTCTGCCAGGGAAGTCATTATCTGTATTATTACCTCTCCTTCTGGCAGAGGCGACCTGGATGAGCCAGGAGGGCACAGGGTTATAATTTTGGGTGAACTCCTCTTTCTGTGGTTGTTTTTCTGCCTGAATTTCGTCAGTGCCTTTCCCTTTTCTCGACCTTTCCTCTGACACAGGTGATTTCATAATTCTCCTCGAAATGCAATGATCCAGGAAGGCTTTTGCAACTGTACCTTGGGCCTGTGCTCAGTGGCAAACCTAAAAATGGTTTCAGGGGAGGGAGGAAAGAGCCCTAAATGCTGTTGTTAGCAAAGACTTTGATAGAATGATTCCAACAGGCTGTGCTCACACTGACACACATTTCAGCCCTGGAAAGGGCCTTTGGTGGCAGAAATCCTCCCAGAAGGGTGGAAAGAAGCTTTAATATAAAGCAGAGCCCAGTTAATTTAGATTTATGTCTGTGTTTACCTTGCATTATCTTAGAAGTTGAGTCTCTCACAAAGTCAGGCCCTTGAGCATCACTCAGGGAGAGGGTTTGCCAGTCAATTGTCTTTTGTGGGGGCTTTAGGAGTGAATTCTGTGGTCCCATGGGAATTGTTTCACTCTGCCTTATCTCAGAGAGGGCTCCTGCCTAGAAAGTGGAGCTGTCAAACTCTTCTAAGCTTTTCCTGGGCTAGTGCAAGGCTTGGTTTTTTTCAGTTAGGCCAAATTGAGGTGAATTTGCAATGGATTGATACAAACCACATCCCTGTCAGGTTTTTAAGTCCTTTTCTAAGTGAGGTCGTGCTGCAGGACTGCTCAGGGAATTGGTTATGCCAATTAATGTGCACGCACTGCAGTGTTGTTCTCCTTTAGCAGGATTCAGGAAAGCATTGAAGTGAATCCTGTGGAATTCTCAAAAAAAATAAAAGGCATAAAAACAAAAGTGAGTTTGAAACATGGATATACCAATGGATCCAAACATCTGAGGATTCCAGGCCAGCAATCAGGGCAGAGCCTTCATTAGCTGAGTCTTTTCACAGCAAGTGCTCTTCAAACTACAACACAACAACTATTTGGGGAGTGTGCCAGCACCCTTCCACGTTCCCCTTCCCCTGGGATCCACTGTCCAGGCCCAGGCTGTGGGTAGCTCTGCCAATGGAAATTTCTCCAGGAGCTCTTGCACAATCCCAGCAGCTGTTTTTAGCTTGGTTTGGGAAATTAGTGAACTTGAATGATCCTGTTACGCTCGTAGTTTGTCAGGAAAGATGTTGAGCAATCAGCAGCGTAAGGGAGATCAGAGGAGCAGCCTCAGCTTGTTCTTTGGCTCCTTTTTTAGCTCTGTTTTAAGTACAGAGGGTGTATTGCTGTCTTCAGTGGGTGTAAATCAGCACTGCTGAGGATCTGGCCTCTCATGTTCTGGTTTTTACTAAAAATACCCCAGGGAGCAGCTTTGATACAATCCAGCTGTGCTCACCTTACCAGAACTGGGAAAAGAGCTGCTTGAGCTCTCAGCCCTTTGCTCTCCTCCTCCATCAAATCTGATGCTCCCTGGGGATTTGGGGGTGGAAGCTGCTTGTAACATATGGCAAGAAAGGGCTGCTGTGGAGTTCTGGAGGAAACATCAAAAGTAAAGGAGCTGGTGCAGTGCCCGTGGATGGGCCTGGGCAGTGTTTGTATGGGGCTGGCAGAGGGAACAGGGGATTTATTGGGGACCCCCATATCCTTCAGCAGGAAGAGAATCATAGAAATCATAAAGTAACAGAATGGTTTGGGTTGGAAGGGGCCTTAAAGCTCAGCCAGTCCCACCCCTGCCCATGGGCAGGGACACCTTCCACCAGCCCAGGTTACTCCAAGTTTCATCCAACCTGGCCT